TTTAAATATATTTTTTCATAAAATCTGCCATTTTCCTTAAAAAAAAAACAAACAAAAAAAACATTACAGTAAAAATTTGTATTTTCCATTACACTGTATATCCTCCATTATAAATGGCTGACAAATTTTTATTTGTTATAGCTAATTGCAGCAACACACATACACATACAGTAAATAAACCAACCGAACAAGTTGGATGCCTATAGAGAAAGTAAAAGTCTTAAAAGCATAACTTGACTACAAATTCTTTTCACAATCAAAGAAAATGTGCATTTCTTTGAATTGCACGAACTAGATGAACTCAAAAATGTCTTTCTTGGCTTCTTCATTTTAGTGCAATTTCACACGCCCCTCAGGGATCCATGGACCAGGGAATGCACCTTTCATTGTGAAACTGTTACATCACACTGACTTTTTCTCAGTTAATAAAAGAGCTTACTACTCCATTTGCCTTTTTCATGTCGGGCTAATCCTCAGCTTTCACACTATTCTCTCTGCAGTTCTCCTTTTCTCTTTCGATAAGTATAGCTGACTTTCTGTGAAGCACTGCAGGTACTGTTCTCTTGCTCAGTCAGATTTCTCTGGTCTTCTACTTTTCTATAAAAGCGGCACACACCGAGAACCATTAATTCTGAGAAAATGCCAGTTCTCAACAGCATGCACTGCATATTGTGGCGAAAGTATTGATCAACTGTACGATTCTGGCCCTTCGCATGGTGTTTCTAGGAATTAAAAGTGGTTCTGAGATTTTCTTTCTTGACTTGCTCTGTGACAGCTGGCCCAGCGCACCAAATGCGTTCACAAGTTCGGATGTGTCTGGTCTCTGGGTATTCAGTATCTTTAATTCATCGGAGTGAGTTTAAAAAAAAAAGATTTTTAGGGCTGTGTGCCCAAAATGGACTGGGAGCCAAGAATTAGGGTCGTCTTATTAGTCTTCTTGTGTGTCAGCCCTCCCGTGTGTTCACCTGAGGTTAAATGGTCTAAATTTAGACCGGCAATCAAGTGCAATTAGCTGCTGAGAGACCTAAGGAGCTTTTAGCATGTGAAGTGCGTAGCTGAACGAAGATAATGGAACTGAGACCATTGGGTTTGGGGTGATGTGCTGATCACTTGAAACCAAATCTAGACATCTGAAGGTCTACACGCTATAAACCTACTGTATTGAATGGAACGGCAGGAAGCAGGTTTGGACTGGGGCAAAATTTAGCCTTGTAAAAATCCAGTCCTTGTGGCCCATGTTTTGAGGGCTTGATTAGGGCCTTTAAATCTGAAACAAATAACACAAATCTATAATATATTTATCAGTAGATATTACTAAGTCTAAAATGCAGTTAACTCTATTAATATTGCCTATTTTGTTGCATAAAAATGCACAATTGACAGTAAAGCATTGATTTTGAGTCAGGATGCAATAAAGTAAATTTACTGCAATAAGTAACAATAAAATTGGTAAAAACACTGAATTTATGCACGACTGCATTCTGTCAGACTTAATTCTTCTTAATTATTGAATTTATTTTGATTCTCAATTCATCTTAATTATTGAATTCATTCAAAAAAAGGCTGTCAGTTTGTGCATTAGGAGTGGGCTCTTTCTGTAAGTTACATAATTATGCCAGTTCATGGCGACAAGTGATTCATTCAACAACACTGATTCATTCAGGAATTAGGCCTAATCATATGACTGATATTATGGGCGAGCCATTGAATCCTTCACTCAACTTTCTCCGTTTTCCTTTGCCGAACAAAGATAAACAGTAGCTGGAAATATTGTTTTTCAATATTAACTTCTTGCTGTTAATTGAACAGCTCTAAAAAGGACAACACACTTACAATCATACTGTTGGTTGCTAATAAAACCATAACAGGGTGTGATGACCAGCTATGATATTCGGAAAAACAGCATTCTCATTTGCATCATATTGCTTGCATATGCTGTATTTCCACCCAAGAGTAGTTGGAAATTTAAAGTAGCTTCCTACAATACTGATTAAATTAATTTTACATACTCCGTTCTGTTTGTACACAGAGAAATGTCAATATCCTTCAGCCTGTTGGCATAGAAGCGAAATATGTGAATCTTCTATCACAATCACACACGCATTGCCTCGCTGCACTTCCCCAGTTTCTCTCACACTCCGAAGAGAGAGTGAAGAACAAAGCAATGTCAGGCATTACAGACAGGCCAGTGATCACAGTCTTCCTCTGTCTGAACTCTGATCTGAGAGAGTGGTTTGGGCTCTGGCTTAAATGCTGCATAAACACTAGACTACAGCGTTCTAGACTCCTGAAACTGCTCTGTAGTCTTTTTGTTCCTATGGGAAACAGCACACTGCCACAAGTCACTGATCTCATTCTGATGGGCCTAGGTGGCTTGATACTAGTGGTTCGCAACTTAGTTTTGAAAAATAGCTTTTAGCTTAGCATACCGTTAAAAATATACCAATTTAATGCAGCATTATGCAAAAACCTTGCTATTGTAGAAATGCATTATTATTTAGGCTACTCTTCCTTGTGTTCTGTGAGTGTGTGTGTGTGTGTGTGTGCATATATATATATATATATATATATATATATATATATATATATATAT